GTATTAAAAATTCCCCCCGGACGCAGGAGAAGTACCAAATACAAAAGCAAATAAAAATGTGGGAGAAAAGATCGTTTTGAAGGTCTTATTAACCCTTTGAGCCCTGCGATTTAAACATCTTATTAATCCTTTGACCCAGCCCGGTAAAATAGCCGAATGCAATTAAAAAAGGTGAGACCATTTTCGTGCCACATTTGAATAAAATGTCGCAGATAATGAGCACAAAATAATATGCGTACGTTCTCGTTTCTCTTAATAATCGCAGCTTGTTTGAAGAACTGTTTGAAGGCGGCGAACGTGTAAACCAACGTGTTCACAATCTTCGAACAATATTCCTTTTTCCTCAAAAGTTCCTCCATCGCGTTCGCGGCGTTTTAGCGTTCGCAAACGAGCCATCGTCATTGTGAGTTTCCTCTTTCTCCGTGCCGTTGCTGAAATTTCTATAAAATGTCTTTCCATTAGACATTATTCCGCGGTGGAACGCAGTTCTCTCGGTGTACGAGAGCAGCGCCGTTTGTTCCCAGACATTCGACGTCGTTTATTCTCCGGCGTCGTTACAATGTATCGTTTTATCCGAATTATTCCCCGCGTGATAAACTTTGTTTATTTCAAACATCTTGGCTCGCGCTGCTACCGCCCTGCCGTTGCCGCCTTTCACGTTTCTCTACACACGTGTCGCCTGCAGATCCAACGCCGGAACAGTTAACAAGTTTATCCCTCGATGCACTTCCCTTCATTCGAAGGCTAGATTAATATTTCGCGGGCGTAAATCGAGGAACGCAAACGTCGACGAGGCGTTCGAAAAATGAACAGAGAACCTGGCCCCCCTCTCCGCTTCGCGCCGAGGAAAATTTTTCCCATTTAAACGCGTAACAATTTCTTTTTCGCATTTCTCTTTTTCAATTGAGCAGTTACTAAAAAATTGAAAGCTTTCGCGTTTAATTCATTAATTGATCGATTGTTGTGTGTCTCTTACGCGAGAGGGCCCACCGTTGTTGAAAACGAACGACACTTGTGATTTTTAAACGAGGGATTTTATTCCACGTTGCAACCGTGGTCTGCTTTTTATATTTTTACGTTTATGTCAAATCGGAGAGAGAGGGAGAGGTGCATAGATGGCCAACTGCTGGAATGCTTGCGCTATGAATGAGTATTCGTGGATCACTTTAACCTCTTGTGGATGAGGCCACCTGCCACGCACGTCGAGAACTCTTTGTCCCAAATTGCAACATTTTCTCAGTTTTAAGTATATTTAATACTCGAAACTTATAGTATATTTACATATATATTATAATGTATATACTATATATTATATTATAGTTATAGTATAATTATAGTATATTTACATTATAATGTATATACTACATATTATAATTATAGTATAATTATAGTATATTTACATTATAATTACATTACTTATAGTATAATTAATATAATATATGTAAATAATATAATATAATATAATATATTTAATAATATAATACAATATAATATAGTTATTATAATTATTAAATATTACACTACTTGTAGTATATTTAATATTATAATTACATTGCTTATAGTATATTTAATATAATATGTAAATAATATAATATAATATTTTTAATAATATAATAATGTATAATATAATATATTTAAATGTAACCCAGGCAAAACAAATGATGAGTTTTGTTACTTCTTAATAATTTCTATCCAGTGATATCATATCGACGAGTTCAGAGAGAAAAAGAAAATGACAAATTGTTGTATACGGCTCGGTCACTCGTTGTGGTCCGCGAACCAGTTGCCAGCGCAAGGAGTCAAGAGGACTATTACTGACTCACAATCAATGTTGATACTGATTTATACCATTGTACTTTAAAAAAAAAAAAGAAACGTTTTCTGATATCAGAGAATCACTCCGCCTCCTCCTCCTCCACCATTCACCAATCTTCAGGAGCTCGTTTCGACGGGGATTTTCCCCGCAGCCTCGATTCGCATTAAACTTGAAAAGTAACACAGGCACAGGAATCTCCATCCACCCCGGCGAGAAGAAGAAGAAGAAGAAGAAGAAGAAGAAGAAGAAGAAAGAGGAACGAAAACAAAGGATCGTGAATAAGCGTGTAAGCGTCGGATTTTTTTAAGAAACCGTGACGAGACGCGGGACGTCCGGCTGACTGACATTTAGCAGAAACGTGAAACAGTGGGGTTAATGGTGCCAGGCTTGGTAACGAGTGAGACACAGAGAGAAATAAAGAGAGATTAGATAGGGTGTTGCAGAGAGAGAGAGAGAGAGAAGGTCAGGGAATGGATGTGTTCACATTACACCCTCTGTTCTTTTAATTTCTTCAAAGGGGGCCCTTCTTCGCCGCGACACCTACTTCTCTCCTCTCGCTGGCAGCCTCGACTCCCGAATTAATAAGGCGTCGACGATGTGACGTCTTTTTTCTTTTCACCCCTGGACGGGACAGCGGCAGACAGCTACCAAAGTGAATGAGAACTCTCGCCGTGAGGATAACGGGGGCGGAGGGGAGAAAGAGAGCACTCTCTTACTGGTACTTAACAGCGGGATGAGATGAGCTGCCGTTAATAAATGTGTTTCTAACTGCAAGAGAGCGAGAGGGGGACAACGGGGGCTGGTGAATCTTCTTCTTCTTCTTCCTCTTCTTCTCTTTCTTCTTCTTCTTCTTCTTCTCTTTCTCCCTTCCCGCGTTGCGTGCCAACCAACGTCCCGGGAGAATAAGTCTTAATGAGAAGAAAACTTTTTAAACGCACTAGACTCCGTCTTTTCTCCGTTGATGCTCTACGGTTGCGCGCTTAGCTTCGCACTTTTACTCCCCGGCAAATCAAACACGACGACGGGAACGCAGAGAGAGAGAGAGAGTGAGAGAGACATTTTGATTGAAAAACGATCTTGTTACACGGCCTGTTTCGCGGCGAGCAGCGCTGCTCGCTGTTAACGTGACAAAAGTCCGCCTGTGGTGGTTTTGTCGAATGTTCCAGCGAGTTTTCGAAAAATTAAACGCCCCGCTTTTAAGAAACGCTAAACGCAGGAAATAATTAGGTAGATAATATAATACAAGGCCGTGAAATATCCTTTTATCCTGATATAAGGATATATTAACGCTGGAACTATCTAGAGATTGAAACGTAAAGTTTCCATTTCAGAGATATTAACCTTTTACGCTGGGATAACGTGTCACGCACGTCGAGAACATTTGGCCGAAAATTGCAATATTTTCACAGTTTTAAGTGTATTGAAATGTAACCCAGGCAGAACAAATAATAAATTTATTACTTCTTAGTAATTTCCATACAGTGATATACCGATGTACCCAAAAAGAAGACAAATTACTGTATACATTTTTTGGTCACTCGTTATGGTCCGTGAACCAGTTACTAGCGCACGAAGTTAAAGTAAACGCAAAAAAAAAATAAAAAGCTTTATAACACAGTCGTATACAAGCTTTTATTTATACATTTTACAAAAAATCATTTAAATATTTAAAAAGACACCGTTTCACGTCTGTAAAATACCCAACAAAAATTACAGATTGGTCATTTTGACCATTTTAACCATTTTGGTAATTCTAATGTTATTTTATAACACACTCATGGCATATATATTTACGAAAAATCATTTAAATCTCTAAAAATATACCGTTTCACGTCTGTAAAATACCCAACAAAATTTACAAATTGGTCATTCTGGCCATTTTGGTAGTTCTAGTGTTATTTTATAACACAATCATGAAGTATACGAGCTTTTATTTATACATTTTACGAAAAATCATTTAAATCTCTAAAATTACACCGTTTCACGTCTGTAAAATACCCAACAAAAATTACAAATTAATCGTTTTGACCATTTTGATAACCACTTTTTACCACGTGCGCAATCAAAATTATCGCAAAAAGGCTCGTTTCGTAAGCAGTAATTGTTCCCCCGTGTATTTCCGTAACTGCTGTCGCAGGCATCGAAGGAAGGAAGGAAAGAAGTACATTCGATACCATCGGGTTTCGTTCGTCGTCTCGGCAGAAACTTACCCTCGGGTAAAAAAAAATAATTGCCCCTTGATACGCGCCGATACCCCGCCAGCCAGGAAATACCAGTTTTGTAATGACGTTCGCGTTCGCGAACTTGGTTCGAAATTAAATATCGTGGCGGGGGTGGGAGGGGGGGGGGGAGGTTGGCGGAGGGATGCTAAAGAGAAATCCCGACGGTGAGGGTCGCGGCGGGCTGGTGTGGGGGAGGCTTGTCGTGCACCTGCCCTTTTCCCGTAACCGTCGTGATAAAAATCAAACTGGAAAACAAACGAGGAGCAGGATCGTATTATAAAGTTTATTAATCGATTGGCGATGCGCGAGGAGGGTGGAACCGGAATCCGGAGGGGCTGCCGGAAATATCTCGTTACGGTTGAAAATTAAAATTCTAATACCGAGAGACACGAACGATCGAACTTTCATCTAATTCTACTTAAAGTTTATTAGCCTCGGGGCATTTTGTTCTCTTTCTTTTTTTTTTTTTTTCTTTTTCTTTCCTCGACGGTGGCGGAAAGAAACGAATCGCCCAAGTGGACGAGGGTGAGGGTCGACAATTACTCGAGACATTGGAGTTTTCAGTAAAGAAATAGGAGATAGAGATGAGATAGAAATTTATAAATTTCTCTGTCTTTTCCTTTTCTTCTCGACCAACTATTGTGTGTTTGTTGTACGATCGATTGTTCTTTACAATACTTTGAAAGTCTCGTCATTTTATCGAAAAATTGCACGTGGTACGTGTATTTTTATTTTCTGCTTTCTTCTTTGAATTATATAATTCGTTCTTTATCGAAACGATTAACATTCCATTGTTAATAATACGAATAATGAATAATTCAACTAAACTTAAATTGCGTTCGTTAATTATATAAATTCATATATTCTCTGCAATAGGCGAAGGATTTTTTTTCGAATAATAATATTTTAAACATTGTGCGTTGTATGTTTACAGTTTCGCATTACACTCGAAATATTTATAGCGTTTCTTTATTCGATGTAGATGGATTCGTGTATGGCATTTTTCTACAATGCACGTTTTCTATTCTCAAAAACGTAACGCCAACGAACTTGCCCATTCTTTTCTTTTTTCAGAAACTAAGGCCCACCGATATACCGATCTTCGAGATAAAGAACCTGTTAATTAACGAGACTGGCACGCAGCTGGCCTTATGGGGTAATCTGGGTCTGGTTCTCATGGAGCTTCCGAAACGTTGGGGCAAGGACGGCATGTTTCAAGGTGGGAAGGAAGAGATACTCTGCATGTAAGTAACAAAGTAAAATGATCGACATACTTTTCAAATGGTGATTGGCCGGTTTCTCTTCTCGGCGATCAGTCGTGGAAAAATTCAATCTTCGTCAAACTGAAGAGAGAAAGAGAATGAGAGAGAGAGAGAGAGAGAGAGAGAGAATGAGACGTTTACAGAGGAAGAAATCCGGCTGCTAAAAAGCGAGATAAGGTAGACGGCGAATAATAAATCGCACTATCTGGCTTCCTGCACCTCCGTGGCTCCTGTGGGCGTCCTAATATCCTGTAATTAAGAGGGTGTTACGATGACGCCCGAACCCCTTTGGCCTCCCTCTTATGGAATTAAGGTGGCTTTACTCGGTTAGTTTTCAAAAGTTCCAGGCCCGGAAAGCACCGCTGAATACTAACCGCCTCATCAACGACACATGCCACCGAGACTACTGCCTCGTGTAACATCACCCTCCGCGTCGTCGCCTCTGTCACTTGCTCGCGTCGTCTTCTCGTTCTCCTGTCTAATCTTTCGGGCGATTAGAACCTCGCGCAATTAGCCACGGGGCTCGAGATTATGCCTCGCGCTTCCCCCCCCGCCTCTTCTCTCATTTTTTTCCAATGCCGCCCGTCAATTCGTTTCGTCCGATTCCTATAGTCGCGAATCGCGTCGTAAGTCACTTGCGTAAGAGAGCCTCGAAACTTTGGACCGACCACTTTGAAAATTAAAAAATAGTAAAAATGGAAATTTACACTCTTATTAATTCACCGGCAGATTTACGTAGCTTTCGCGCGATAAGTGAGAGTACCGAGTGGCAAGAGCCAGTCGTAAGTCCACGTCTGTTTCGTCCGTAAGAGAGTTCGAAGCTATCAGATTGATCAACTACTGTGTGCCGGAATCACAGTTTTGACCTGTGCTGGGAGCTGCTTGTGTTAGTGATCGCACTAACGCATCATGCGGCTGTGCGCCATGTGTTTGCCAAATTGCCAAAGTGACGATTAAAGACGAAAAAAATCAGTTTCTGGTAACATTCTGAGGAAGAAAGACGTGTGCAGCAAATCGAAGCAATTTTTTACTTCAAAGTTTATTTCATATTTTAGTGTTTTTATTATTGTTTTAGTAAGTTAGTATTTTAATATTTTAGTTTATTTCAGTATTTTAGTTTATTTTATTTTTATTTTAGTACTTAATTTAGTTTTTTTAGTATTTTAGTATTTATTTTAGTGTTTTTATTATTGTTTTAGTATTTTAGTAAGTTAATATTTTAGTATTTTAGTTAGTATTTTAGTATTTTAGTTTATTTCATATTATAGTGTTTTTATTATTGTTTTAGTATTTTAATAAGTTAGTATTTTAGTTTATTTTAGTTTTATTTTAGTATTTAGTATTTAATAGTTTGTATTATTTTTGTTTTTAATATTTAGTATTTTATACTATTTTTGTATTTACTATTTAGATTTCAGTTTTTAGCACTATTTTAATAGTTTACTATTTTACTCTTAATTTACTGTATCCATTATTATTTTTGCTCTTCTTATTTACTTTTTTCCGTTGTTTCTATTTGTTGACGCAATGTCTTCATTGCCAACGAGCAATGTTTCTTTGTCGTCTTTCGCTCAACTTGCACAACACGTTCCTGACAGTAAATGACATAAATGTATAGTAAATATATATAACTTTATTATTCACGTGACCATTATTTGTTCCTTATACTCCCATACGTTCGTATATGAGTCGGGTGTCTGTCACTGTGTTGGTACAATATCGGCGAGGACTTCGGTCTCGAGCAACCGTCACACTATCTACAGTATCGGCCGGACGATATGACCTAAATATGTATTATAGTGAGTCAAAATGACCCAGCATTGGAGCCTTAGCTTCAGTAGAGGACTACTAACTTTGAGAATAAAAAATGATAAAAGTGAAATTTGTCTTATTATAATTTACCGTCACATTTACGTAGCTTTCTCGCGGCGAGTGAATACCGATCGACGTGTTTCGAGTGGCAAGAGCTTGGCAAGCTGCAAGAAGCTTGAAACGTCACTTCTCGGCATCCGAAAGTGCGGGGCGAGAAGGTATCGCGAGAACGGGGGAGAAATTCAAATTAATTTGAATTACGGCGAACGACGATGCCGCTTAATTCAACGTGGCAAAAGGGTAGCCTCCTCCCCCACCTCCCTCCCATCGCTCCAAGTTGTCTTTCGCATTATAATTTCATAATAAGTCCAGCCTGGAATAAATGCATTACCTTCCTGCCGACTTCCCGCCTAATTCATAATTCCCAAGTTTTTCCGGAAACGAACGAAAACGTTTAGCCCCATGAACCCCGGTGGCCGGCGGTGGCCCCGACCTGAACAAACTGGTCAAATTAAGAGCGGCAGTTTACGCTAAAGTTTTTTCGTTATTTCACTTAAGCGATTCTAGCTCGAGAGAAAGAAAGAGAAAGAGAAAGAGAGAGATAGAGAGAGAGAGAGAGGCGACACGCGGAAGCGACGCGGCACCGCCGGTGGATCGAGGGAATTTATAAGAACGCACGCGTATAACCTCCCTCCCCCTCCCCCTCCCCCTCCCCCTTCCTCTACCCCTCCCCCTCCCTCCGGTGAAATGTACGCGGCGGAAAAGAGCCGCGGAACAGTTTGTAAGAGAGTCGCGGCCATTAGAACGAATCTCGGGGATTTAACGTCTCCTTCCTTCCAGTCGGCTTAAACAGAGCTAAATGGAGTTTATGCATTATTGCCCGTGAAACTTCCACCACCGCGAACAGATATTTGCTCTCTTACCGAAGAACTGAAAAGTTTAGACGTCGCGCCTCTGCCGTGTTCCTCCGCCTTTCTCGCCTCTTCCCTCCTCCACTTCCCGTTGCCCTCTACCTTCACGAATCGTCATCCGACGAACGTAAGACTCTGACTTTTTTTTTTTTCCTTTCGTCGAACGCGTATTTTTTTTTTTTTTTTTTTTTTTTTTTTTTTAACTGTTCCTTCGCGAGCTTTCAATCTAGATAAATTGCCTCGGTCAGGGTGCGAGAATATTTATTATTTGCGAAGTAAATTTTCGCAGGCAGTCTTTCGAATCGGTTAGCGCCGGAAGGTTGCTAAAGTAAAAATTCCAAAACTGATTCGATAAGTATCAATTTTGATTTTCGGTAGATACAAGTTTCTGTATATAAAAGGTGGCCACTGGAAAACTGAAGGATTTGAAAAAGTCATAACTTGTTCATTTTTAATCTCTTTCATTTCCTCTTTTTTCTCGTTTTTCGCACACAACACTGAGAAAAATCCATTAATTATATTTCCAAGTAAAATAATAAAAAAATTTTAAAGAAGACGTGCTTGTAAAAGTTATTTTTGTTTTTTGTATCATTCAGTCTTTCAGTGACCCTATATATACACATATATAACTTTCACAGACACATGTGTTTTTAAATTTTTTATTATTATATATTTATATTTTTTAATATATATATTAGATATATATATAATCATATATGTATAAGACTGAATGATATAAAAAACAAAAATAACTTTCACAAACACATGTTTTTTTAAATTTTTTATTATATATTTATATTTTTTAATATATATTATATTTAATATATATATATATATATTAATATTATATATATATAAAATATAAATATATAATAATAAAAAATTTAAAAAAACATGTGTTTCAGTCTTTCAGCGATCATCCTATATATATACACACACACACACACACACATATTCATCGAACGTTTGAGAATTTACTGCAGAAATTGCATGGAACGTGCGTGTAATACAGCTCAACGAAATGCAACGAAAACAGTTTCGATACTCGGTGGTATGCTCCGGTGTCCTCATCGGCCGGCAGATCCACCGAGCTTCGAAGCATGGAAAACCGAGCGACCGAGGCTTTGGATTAAGCAAATGACGGCAATAATAGTGATTATTCGGATTATGATATCAGGGCGCGAAGTGGGTTCGCTTGGACTTACCAGCAGCCACTAACTGCTACGCCACCAAATCCCGACTTCAAGACACCGGATTAAAACTATTACCACCTCGCGTTTGCCTCCACCATTTCTTCGGCCCCCGCCACCCAAAACCTACCCTCTTTTCTCGTTTTCTCTCTCCCTCTCCCTCGTTGGAGATTTCTTCCACCCACCTTTTGGAAACTCTGGCCATTTCAGACGCCAGCGAGAATCTCGGATTTTATCGATCCCCGACATCTCACCTGCTAATTGCCGATGAATTTCTTATCATTCGTTAATTAACGAAACGAATTATTAATAAATCGAGTCTCTCCCGATGTCTGGATAAATAGAGAGTGCTTCTTCGTTATTATAAAGTAATCGTGATGAATTTACATTTGCCCAGAGTTTCGCAACCTAAGGCTCGAAAGTTCTTCTCTTTCCAAATGTGCAACAGTATTCATTCGTCAAGAGCGTAGCTCTGTAGCAAAGACAATGAAAAATTGTTGATGATGATTGCAATGTAATTTCGTAAGGAAAGATTATTAAGAACGATTCGCTTGGTCTTATTTTAAAGCCTCTATTCAGACAGTCGTAGAGTTTTTTTTTCTTTTTTTTTTTTTTTTTTTTTTTTTTTTTTTCTTTCGAAGATGATTGTGACATCTTGTGAAAATGAGCAAAGCGAGGATACTTTTTCTCGTGTGAGTAATAAATAGTAAAAAATTTGTTTCGTTCCTCCGTGATCTTGAAGATTGAAAGTTTCTCTTTACAACTCGCTGCACAATTTTTTCTTTTTCTTTTTGGAACATTAAAGTTGAACGTGGAAACTTCACGGTTTAAAACGTGTAGACTAGCATAAGACTAGATCTGAAAAGATCCATGATCTTTTTTTTTTTTTACAAAGTTGAAATTATCGAGAATTTTTCATTGCTCATGTGCACGTGGACATTTTTCTTAAATCAAAGATTTGAAATCACGAAGGCCACACCTACTTAAGCCACCTCGTAACAGTTTGCCTCCGTGCGGGACGCGATGGTCGTTACAAGAAGAAAGTTGCAATTTCGCGCGCACATATATA